CAGGTTCATGCCGTGGACCGCCGATTCTGGGCCCGGGAAACAAGCACAGAGTGGTGGGACCGCATCGTGTTGCAGGTCTGGGACGATGCCCAGTGGCTGCGAAACTTTCGCATGCGTAAGGGCACTTTCATGGAACTTTGTGACTTGCTTTCCCCTGCCCTGAAGCGCCAGAATACCAGGATGAGAGCAGCCCTCACAGTGGAGAAGCGAGTGGCGATAGCCCTGTGGAAGCTTGCAACGCCAGACAGCTACCGGTCAGTCGGGAATCAATTTGGAGTGGGCAAATCTACTGTGGGGGCTGCTGTGATCCAAGTTGCCAGGGCAATGAGAGACCTGGTGATATCAAGGGTAGTGACTCTGGGAAACGTGCAGACCATAGTGGATGGCTTTGCTGCAATGGGATTCCCAAACTGTGGTGGGGCCATAGACGGAACCCATATCCCTATCTTGGCACCGGCGCACCAAGCCGCCGACTACATAAACCGCAAGGGGTACTTTTCAATGCTGCTGCAAGCCCTGGTGGATCACAAGGGACGTTTCACCGACATCAACGTGGGCTGGCCGGGAAGGGTACATGATGCTCGCGTCTTCAGGCAGTCTCTTCTGTTTCGAAAGCTGGAGGAAGGGACTTTCTTCCCGGACCAGAAAATAACCATTGGGGATGTTGAAATGCCTATCGTGATCCTTGGGGACCCAGCCTACCCCTTAATGCCATGGCTCATGAAGCCGTACACAGGCAGCCTGGACAGTAGTCAGGACCTGTTCAACTACAGGCTGAGCAAGTGCCGAATGGTGGTGGAATGTGCATTTGGCCGTTTAAAAGCGCGCTGGCGCAGCTTACTGACTCGCTCAGACCTTAGCGAAAAGAATCTCCCCATTGTTATTGCTGCTTGCTGTGCGCTCCACAATATCTGTGAAAGTAAGGGGGAGACATTTATGGCGGGGTGGGAGGTTGAGGCAAATCGCCTGGCCGCTGATTACGCGCAGCCAGACACCAGGGCGGTTAGAGGAGCACAGCAGGGCGCGGTGCGCATCAGAGAAGCGTTGAAAACCAGTTTTGTGACTGGCCAGGCTACGGAGTGAAACTTCTGTTTGTTGCTCCTTGATGAACCCTCTGCCCCTCCCCCACCACCCTGTTAACTCTACTTCCCTGCAAACCAACCACCCCACCCTCCCCTACTACCCTCCCCCCTTCGAGCACCACTTGCAGAGGCAATAAAGTCATTGTTGCTTCACATTCATGCATTCTTTATTAATTCAGCACACAACTAGGGGGATAATTGGAAAGGTAGCCCGGGATGGGTGGGGGAGGAGGGAAGGAAAAGGACACACTCCAATTTAAAACTTTAAAACTTATTGCTATGGAAATCATCTAGGGTGGAGTGAGTGGGTGGCCGAAGGCCCCCCCACCGTGTTCTTGGGCGTCTGGGTGAGGAGGCAATGGGACTTGGGGAGGAGGGCTGCTGGTTACAGAGGGGCTGTAGCGGCGTTCTCTGCTCCTGCTGCCTTTCCTGCAGCTCAACCATACGCAGGAGCATATCACTTTGATGCTCCAGCAGCCGGAGCATCGACTCTTGCTTTCTGATTACAAGTTGACGCCACCTCTCCTCTTCAGCCCGCGTTTCAGCACGCAACTTCTCCTCTTCAGCCCGCGATTCAGCACGCCACCTCTCCTCTCGCTCATATTGGGCTTTTTTAAAATCAGTCATTGACTGCCTCCACGCATTCAGCTGTGCTCTGTCAGCGTGGGAGGCAGTCTGAAGTTCAGTAAACATTTCGTCACGCGTCCTTCGCTTCCTTCTTCGAATATTCACTAGCCTCTGCGAAGGAGTAAGATTTGCAGCTGGTGGAGAAGGGAGAGGTTGTTAAAAAAGATACATTTTAGAGAACAATGGGTAGACTCTTTCACGTTAGATTTTGCTGTTCACAACATCACACAGCACATGTGCTTTCGTTACAAGGTCGCATTTTTCCTCTTATATTGAGAGTCTCCTGGTTTGGTGTGAGAGATCACTCACGCAGTGCCAGGACACAGATTTCAGCTTGCAGGCAGCCATGGTAAGACATATAGTCTTTGGGCTTTTTTAACCTTCTTAACATGTGGGGATGGTTTCAAACAGTTCTGCCCTCATTTCCCATACCAAGCACCCGTGCCATTTAAAATGGGTTTGCAATGTAAAAGGAGGGGCTGCGATTTCAGGTTTAACATGCAGCACAAACCCAACTAACTCCCCTCCCCCACACACCCAATTCTCTGGGATGGTCACTTCAACCCCCCCCCACCGCGTGGTTAACAGCGGGGTATATTTCTGTTCAGCAGAGCAGGAAGGGGCACCTCTGAATGTCCCCTTAATAAAATTGCCCCATTTTAACCAGGTGACCGTGAATGATATCACTCTCCTGAGGATAACAAAGAGAGATAAGGAATGGATGTTGTCTGCATGCCAGCAAACACCGGGACCATACGCTGCCATGCTTTGTTATGCAATGATTCCAGACTACGTGCTACTGGCCTGGCGTGGTAAAGTGTCCTACCATGGCGGACGGGATAAGGCAGCCCTCCCCAGAAACCTTTTGCAAAGGCTTTGGGAGTACATGAAGGAGAGCTTTCTGGAGATGTCCCTGGAGGATTTCCGCTCCATCCTCATACACGTTAACAGACTTTTCCAGTAGCTGTACTGGCCGCGATTGCCAGGGCAAATTAATCATTAATCATTAAACACGCTTGTTTTTAAACCATGTGTAATTTTTGCAAATGTACACTCACCAGAGGTCCCCTGTGTGCCCTCAGGGTCTTGGGTCAGTTCGGGGGTTACTGTTTCCAGGTCCAGGGTGACAAACATATCCTGGCTGTTGGGGTAACTGGTTTCTCCGCTTCCTTGCTGCTGTGAGCTATCTATGTTCTCTCCATCCTCATCTTCCTCATCCGCCGAACCCGCTTCCCCGTTTGCAGAGAGGGACTCATAGAACACGCTTGGGCTAGTGGTGGCTGCACGCCCTAGAATGGCATGCAGCTCCGCGTAGTAGCGGCATGTTTGCGGCTCTGCCCCGGACCTTCCGTTTGCGTCTCTGACTTTGTGGTAGGCTTGCCTTAGCTCCTTAATTTTCACGCGGCACTGCCGCGCGTCCCTGTTATGGCCTCTGTCCTTCATGGCCTTGGAGATCTTTTCTAATGTTTTGCCGTTTCTTTTACTGTTTCGAAGTTCGGCGAGCACTGCTTCATCTCCCCAGATGGCGATCAGATCCTGTACCTCCCGTTCGGTCCAGGCTGGAGCTCTTCTGCGATCCTGGGACTGGGACTGGGACTCCATCATGGTTACCTGTGCTGATGGGCTCTGCATGGTCACCTGTGCTCTCCACGCTGAGCAAACAGGAAATGAAATTCAAACGTTCGCGGGGCTTTTCCTGTCTACCTGGCCAGTGCATCTGAGATGAGAGTGCTGTCCAGAGCGGTCACAATGAAGCACTGTGGGATAGCTCCCGGAGGCCAGTAATGTCGAATTCCGTCCACACTAACCCAATTCCGACCCCCTAAGGCCGATTTTATCGCTAATCCCCTTGTCGAGGTGGTGTTAGGAAACCGGTTTAAAGGGCCCTTTAAGTCGACAGAAAGGGCTTCGTAGTGTAAACGTGTCCAGGCTTAAGTCGATTTAACGCGGCTAAAGTCGACCTAAACTCGTAGTGTAGACCAGGCCTTAGCAACCATAAGAGCTATTACTTTAGTGAAAGATTAATTCAGAAAAAAAAGTGCTTGGAGGCCACCAGAGAAGTATGGATACAGCATATATCGAGTACTGGCTCAATCCCACCTATGGACAAATGCTGCCTTTAGCTCACTCACACCATAGAAAGTATAAGTAGCAAATAGGATGGGCTAAATGGGATGGCTGAGGCATCTATTAATAAAGAGAATAGTTATTTGAAATGATGGAGTGGTCACCATATCTACAGATCAAAAATTAACTATTATGAGAGGGTGCCTATGATTTCCAGGTTTCTAAGTGAGGAACAGGTAGGAAAACTGGTGTTCACATGAGAGTTTCTGGTAAATAAATCCAACCTTTTGTTTGATGTCTGGGATTCTGAAGTCTAATTTTACCCACTACTTATTCCACTTGTTCTGTCTGCTGTCATATCTTTCACCATTTTTTCTCACCATCCTTCCAGTTTGTCTTTATTAACAAGCACTCCATTTCCTCCTTATCTTTATTGCTTTTTTCCCCACAGTGCTAAAAAACAAACAAAAAACACACCTCTAGTTTTCAGGATGCTGAAAACCACTACAAAGCCTCCACTTCTTGTGGGTAACTTCCACTTTGAGAATCTTTGTGGTTATCCACATCCGTTGTATATGAACTTCACCTTGTCTAGTCTAGGATTTAAGGTATAGTGTTATGTGCTAACACACATATTTTAGAAGTTTAATATATACAAGCCACTCTGCCTTTAATACATGTCTGAGTTAGAGCCTGAGGAAGTCATGTCTAGATAAAAGCAACAGAGGTGGTACCTTTAAGACTAACAGAAGTATTGGGAGCATAAGCTTTCGTGGGTAAGAACCTCACTTACCCACGAAAGCTTATGCTCCCAATACTTCTGTTAGTCTTAAAGGTGCCACAGGACCCTCTGTTGCTTTTTACAGATTCAGACTAACACGGCTACCCCTCTGATACATGTCTAGATAAGGCCTTTGTGCATGTGCGTTTGCCCCAGTCTAAACCCCGGCTTTTGGCATTAATGGTTCCATTGTAACCCTCTAGCATGCCTGCAACACATCATATTACAACACACAGGTGTTCTTCTCTCCTCCTGTGTTAATAAAAGCACTGTCCTATTACAAGTAACATTTCACTAGATTCTTCCTTTGTTTTTTCAACAAGTTTAGTACATTATAAGATATTAGAACTTTGTTTTATTTTTGACCTTTGCCTTTTGAACCAACACATACTTGCTCATACATTAGACAGCATGCAGACACAGCAATCCATGAATGTGCTTACCCTATTGTGCGCATCGTAGCGAGACCGCTGAATCTCCAGACCCCTGAAGCCTGAAAAAGGAAAAAAAGGACACAGATACATGAGACACACCCAAAGCAAAGCCCAGCTGTCTAAAAACATCCCCATGCTTTTCCATGACAAAATGGTCCCTTCTGGCCCCACCCTAGTCTGTGAGCCTCTACAACCAGGCAAGATCATTCCCACCCAAGTATCTTCACAGAAGACAAGAAGGAAACTTCTAGTTCAAATTTCAAACATAAAAAGAAACTTAACTAATTATGGAAGTGATTTAGAGAAAGAAAATAGTAATAAAGCTCCTTATCTCTTCAAGCACCTTGGCGAATGGTGTTCTTGGTACACTGCAGGCTGCTAGGCCCACAGTTGATTCAGCAGTGGTTTGATATGTGTGGGGGTTGATGAATCTCCACCAAGGCATTTGCAACATGTGAGAGTGTCAGGTCATAGAAAGGTTTCAAAGTAGCAGCTGTGTTAGTCTGTATCCGCAAAAAGAACAGGAGTACTCGTGGCACCTTAGAAAAGTGGGCTGCAGCCCACGAAAGCTTATGCTCAAATAAATTTGTTAGTCTCTAAGGTGCCACAAGTACTCCTGTTCTTTTTTTAGGTCATAGAAAGTAGTCCCTGCCCTTCATGAAGCATGTGCGGATACTGTGGTAGGCTGCCAGTAGGTGCCAAATGTGCTTTATACATCACTGACAGTATGCACCTGCTCCAGAAAGGGTCTTTGGAGCTCTGCCAGGCGTTGTGAGATAGGTGCAACTATCGAAGATCAACCAGTGGTTGCGAGAATACTGTGCGTGGAGGCACAGCACTTTTGCCACTTGTGGCAACGTGATTGCATTAGTGCAAGTTGAAGCCCTACAGTTTCTGAGTACAGACAAGGGTTTAGGAGCTTTGCATAGGAAAGAGAAAGCAAAGGCTTGGGCAACAGTAGAAAACACACCAATGAAGCTGAAGGTCTCCTCTCTAAAGAAAGGCCATTACTGATATGTCTTTAAACACATTAATCCAAGAGGGCTTTTAAGAGTGCAGGAACTATTCAACATTCAGACTTTACTGTTGTTCCTGGGAGGCTTTTTTTATGCGTAACGTCACTTTTCACACCCACATTGAACAACACTCACAAGTATGCCTTCAGTATTTAGCTACCAGTTTCATGTGTCAAGTTTCGATATGTTAGGTGGTTGACTGTCTTTCTATTCATCCTCTCTGTTTTGAAGAACCAGTTGCCTGATTTCATCTGGACACACGTGTAAATGTAAGCAGAGATAGAGAGGCCAACAGAAACAGATGTTAAGTGGTTCTTTTGTCAATTAACCCCCCTTTCTCCTTACGTGCACACACAAATAATCAAATTCAAACTTGGTACAAATAAGGACAGATCCTATTAAAGTCTCAACACATTGGCCCATTTTGGCAGTGAAGCAAGCCACATTTTTCTAGCTAGAACAAAAGGCAAATGCACCACTGTCAATACTAAAGTGCTAGTGCTTTATGTAGTGGAATATTTTGAAAGACATGGACATGGCTTATTCTGTGACATCTGATTTATTAATAGAAAAGAAAAAAAATAATTTCCCTTTGGCTGCTTCAGTGAACATCTTTTCATAAGTAAATAAATAAATAAATGCTATTTTATTATTGTACAGACTACAATAAAACAGAAGATCTGTTAAAAAGAAAATTCCCTGATATATCCTCCATTTGGAGCATCTGTTTAATTGTACAACTGGCAATGCTTCAATGAACTACAGAAAGTACATTTTACAGGGTTTCTACCCTAAAAGATGAAGTTCATGAGCTTAATGTATTTTATTGGCAAGCGTGCGTGCTAGAAATATATAGAAAGCTAGAAATTCTTTACAGATGGCAAAGCTGGGGTGAAGGTGTGCGTTGCATTCAGTCTTCCTACAATGGTGTCTTAAGGGAGTTTGCTCTTTTGACTTTAAATAACTTGCATGGTATGCCGTGACAAAGTGCATTCCCACATCCTGTTTCTTGATAGAATTAAGAATGTGGTCTTCCATTAAAACCTTACTTTAGTCCCAGGGAAGACACTTCTGAAAGTGCAGTCATACTAAAGGTTATGTCTATATTGCAAACAAAGGTGTAATTGTAGTGTGGGTAGGCATACCCCTACTAGCTTTAATCTAGCTAGCACAGGCAATGAGAATAGTGTCGACGGGCTAGCCTCCTGAGTACGAGATGGCCGGGGCATCAAGGTACATAGTTGAGTTGCTAGCCTGTGCCTCCTTGTCTACACTACCGTTGTCACCAGTGCTAACTAGACGAAAGCTAGCATGGAGATGCATGCTGCAATCACACACCTTCACTTCCAGTCTAGCCATATGCTAGGTCAGGCCAAGTTAATGAAAACTACTTCCTAAACAGCTGCCCATGATAGTATTAAGGTTTAACCCACTACCTTGGTGTTGGCTTATTCCATGGACGCCTCTATCAAGGTATATTCTCATGTAATGCTATGTGGTTCAGAAATGCCAAATATGCTTTATGCCAGAGACAGTAAAATCCAAGAGCAATCTTTAACTTCCACAGATAGCAGGCAAAAAACAAACAAAAAATCTTATACTACTCAGACAGAAAAAAGAACATATTATTTATTTGTATTACAGTAACACTTAGGATCCTAATCATGGCCTAAGACCCCATTGTGGTGGGCACTGTACAAACACAGAATAAAGACAGTCCTTGCCCCAAAGAGTGAATAATCTTGTAGCACAGGCTGCATCTGCTAGCATGGGGATGATGTTCTGTAGGAAAATAAAAGCTCCATTGGTCATTGACAGAAGAGATCTTTTGCCATACGATTGAACAGCTCTGATTTCACTAAGTAGAAATCAGTGGTGATGCAAACACTATCCAATTTATTACAATAGCACAATGATAAATATTTCAGTGAATGTATATTCATTCTCACTCAGAAGGTGATATGTAATATGGTTCAGTAGTTCATTTTGCAAGGGGAAAATAAATAAAGAAAACTCAGCATAATTTGGACCTCCTTTTTCCCCCAAGAAGACCCAGTTTTGCATCCCCTTTAATAGATGATATGCAAGTGAGTAGCATATGGGGGGGGGTGGGGTGTGTGAAAGATCAGTGAATGACGAATCTGTTCAACATAAGCCTTTCTACTGTGATACATTGATTTCAATGTAATCTTAATGAAACTTGCATTTCTGATGCCAATACTCCCCACCAAACTGAAAAACTGATAATTATGCTCCCTCTAATTCTTGCTAACTGAAAAATCTACAAGTAACACCCCCATCACAAAAAAATAAAATAAAAGATAGACACACCCTTGTGGCCAAAATAAGAAGTGCCACAAAGAATATGTGCATCTGATCAGTTTGGGTTTTTTTTTAACCTTCTACATAAATAACATTGTTTTTACTTTGAGAGAATCTTCTGAGATGTGGAATTGCACTTTAAAAACAGAAAACTGGAAACGCCAAATGTTAAAAGATTTCAGGGGAATGCTACCCTTATAAACGTTAAACAGATCTTACCTTCATTTCCAAGGATGCCAATGCCTTGATTTTCTTTTACAGCATGTGATTTTAGGATGCTTAATGAAAGAGGAAGGATTTATAGCTTTAGTGTTATGGTATAAACCATTATAGCTATTGTATCGTATACAAGTTTTTAAAAAATCAGATACCAGAAGTGGTCAGTGTTAATATACAGTATTATTTATCTTAAAGTAATACAATTTAAGGGTAATTTGTACAGCTATCATGACAAAATTAGTAACTTTCCACACACAGAATACACTGAGACTGCTAAAAGTGCGAGAAAATAGTTCAGGGGATATTATAGTTTGCCTGGGAATTAGAGGGCATATGTTCCATTCCCAACTAACTTTTGGGTTGATTTTGTTTTTTCTAATTAACTAAAAGCCTTTTAGAATTCCTTTATATTGTGATTGTGTCACAATAAGAGTATATGGTAAACTCTGATGCTCTAGGGGGGAAATTGGCTCCATTAGTTTTCTGTCATAGTTACATGATGATTAGATCATTTCTCAGATTACCATTAGTGCATTTTCAGTGGCTTTTTCATCAGATCCAGATTCTATGGGAAAGCCTGAGTTTATGGTATAGTTAATATTTCCCAAGGGTACATTAACAGTAGCAGATCCCACTGTAACTAGAATATTTACTATCTTCCAGTAAATACAGAATACTTGTTCCTGAATACTGTAATATTTTTCATCTTCACAGAGAAAAAATCCCCACCGGAGTTTGATTCCAGGATCCTGAGCACCAGAGCACAGATCACTACCATTTGAGTTAATGAGCAACCCAGTTAGGTGGCAGCAGTAGTAAGCTTTTATCCTACCAGAGGGGAATGCAACATGAACTTCACAACAAAAAAATGGCCATACTGGGTCAGACCAAAACTCCAGCTAGCCCAGTATCCTGTCTTCTGACAGTGGCCAATGCCAGGTGCCCCAGCGGGAATGAACAGAACAGGTAATCATCAAGTGATCCATCCCTGTCATCCATTCCCAGCTTTTGGCAAACAGAGGCTAGGGACACCATCCCTGCCCATCCTGGCTAATAGCCATTGATGGACCTATCCTCCATGAACTTATCTAGTTCTCTTTTGAACCCTGTTATAGTCTTGGCCTTCACAGCATCCTCTGGCAAAGAGTTCCACAGGTTGACTGTGTGTTGTGTAAAGAAATACTTCTTTTTGTTTGTTTTAAACCTGCTGCCTATTAATTTAATTTGGTGACTCCTAGTTCTTGTGTTATGAGAAGTAGTAAACAACACTTTCTTATCTATTTTCTCTACACCAGTCATGATTTTATAGACCTCTATCATATCCCCCCTTAGTCGTCTCTTTTCCAAACTGAAAAATCCCAATTTTATTAATCTCTCCTCATAAGGAAGCTGTTTTATACCCCTAATCATTTTTGTTGCCCTTTTCTGAATCTTTTCCAATTCCAATATATTTTGAGAGGGGGCAACCACATTTGCACACAGTATTCAAG